GGCAAAGTCAGAAAGTCACATGCATTACTGCATCACTGCATAAAGCGACATGCATCACTGCATCACTGCACAAAGTTACATGCATCGCTGCATCGCTGCACAAAGTTACATGCATCACTGCATCGCTGCACAAAGTTACATGCATCACTGCATCGCTGCACAAAGTCACATAGCATCTGAGGAAAAACTAAGCATCCAAATTATTACACCGGTTCAAGTAATTGGTGAGCATCACTGACAAATGTTGGACGTATCACCGCGCCGAGCTACAATTTAGTATCGTACCATACCTACTGTGCCCTTGTGAATTATGCAATCTATTAAAATTTTGAGGGGGTGTCATAGCAAAATAACAATAAATTAATAAATATGTCAATACACCTAAAAAGTAAAACAAATTTCTAAATAAATATTTTGAAGATTTTGAAATTGTAATTTCACATTTATTTTTTAAAAACAATTTCAGGCAGAGAAATTTGACTACTTCAGACGTTTAGTCGGTTGATCAGCTTGGTTTTTATTTTATTATTTTTTTTTATGTTTTTACTTTTTGTTTTGGAATAACAATAAATTATGCAATTCATAAAAGTCGAAGTGACAACTCCTATCAAGTTGATGCATAGTTGTTCAGGTCATAAAAGTTGACGTGACAACTCTGATGCATAGTTGATTAAAATAATTTCATACATACAGCTACCATGTGTATATATGGGATAAATATCGCATCATACCATAACAAAAGTTTTACAGCTATTTCGAGCGATATCATCATGAGATATACGGTGGTTGATCTATATTCAGCAATGGGTCGCTATTGGGTTGCAGATGGAGATGAATTTGAATACCCAATGAATCCAAATCTGCGTTACTCACGTGCCACCGTCAATACCATGAGAGCTGAGTGGGAATTTCGCAAAACTCGAGCAAACATTCTCGTTGAGCTATGTCGTGAAGTAAATCTTAAATTTCCTCGCCGGTTAGCCATGCGTATGCCAACTGACACTCCACAGTTGTTGCAAAGGGCATTGCATCGTATCCGCGACGAGGTTAATCGCATGACCCAACGTTTGCAAAGGTCCGGACTAATGAAGACCGCAAATGAGCGTGCCGAAGATGGGTTAATGGATGATGCACACCAATACTACGCCTGGAGCATGGATGTTATGTATGAATCTGATATTGAGATGTCAGATGATGATGATACTGAATGAAATTGTTTGGATGAACGCCCAAACCATTTCTGTAATGCATGCAATTTTTAATGCTTATTCACGACTTATCTTATCAATGAAGGGAGATATTTCAATTGTTTTCGAATATTTATTGTAATTCTACCTTTACTTTCTCTCCGTTATTGTTATTTTGAAGAACGCTACTTGAACTAGACTTTCATGATTTCATGCATTATTGATGTGGAATATAATAATGATACTTAATGAACAAGGTATGAGTTCATATCGATTGATAGTTGAAATACTTGTGTTTGTTTAGATATTTATTTTGTTTCCTTTTTGTTCATATTGCTCCCCACAACTATCCATTATGCAATGTTCACATTTTTTTCCCAGATTTTTGTTGTATAAAATTTTTACAAACCTGTAGCTACACAAGTGGTCCTCCAATCTCATTTAATCATAAAATCCTATCAATTCTTATCATTTTTTTCCTGTTTTCGTTTTAATTTTTATGGAAATCATCAAAACAAGTAGTAATAAAAAATTGTGAAATTATATTTTTCGAAGAAATAAGTATGACACATTTACATCATCTGTACAAGTTTGATATACAAAAACTATAAATAAAATAAACTATACACTCCACATCACACTCGCTAATGCCCTAACCTGCCCCCAGTCCCACAATCCCGACCGTGGACCTCTCTCCTTGGTCTCCTGCGGTAGACTCTCTGAATATCTGGCTCCTGTGGAGCCTGTGACTGTGACTCCCCCTCTACTGCACGTGCTGCCCCTGATCCTGGCTGTGGCAGAAGATCGGATACTGCTGTGAGCTATGAAACTCCATCATCTGGTGCAACTGTATCAGGATCTGCAGCTGGAGCTCGACCTCTGCCTCTGTCTCTGCCCGCACCCCAACCTCTGCCGCGACGTTTGCCGCGACCAAAACCTCGGCCTCTCCCGCGCGGGGGGGGGGGGCTCAATATGGCCCTCAGCGTCAACATGGAAGATGTCAGTGAGAACTACATCATGTGTACTCATGGTCGTGGTCGAACTGTTTGGTGGTGGTAACTGGGTGGGTGGGGTAACAACGTCATGCATGTATCGGGGCGGTGTCCAATTAGGGTCAGGCATATAAGGTATGCCAGTATGCTGCGTAAGAAGTACGTCGAGGGAATCTGTAGATATGTATGGGGTAGTATGTGGTGGGGTCGAAGGCAGTGTCGAAGGAGCTGATGTGGCAGGCGCTGAAGTGGAAGGCGCTGATGTGGACGGCGCTGATGTGTCTGGAGCAGCTGCTGAAGTGTGTACACCGTAGTGGCCGAAATGCAAACGATCTCCCCGATGGGCAAGTTGGAATGCCTGGTACAATAACTCCCGGATCTCTGCAACGGCCTCCAAGGCATGCTGTGCATCACGTCTCAAATGGGCGTCCTCAGCCAAGTGAAACGACCTCCCAGCTCCAGCTACCTGAACAAACATTCAGACGTATTATTAGGCTACAGTTCACTGAAAGTAAATCAAGTATGATTTTAATAATTATCTGACACATAATATGATACTCACCAATGCCTCAAGATAAGGGCCAACTCCCTGATATCCAGACTCAGACACGTGGCTCGGATTCCCGACTAGAAGGTGTGTATGTCGCCGATACCACAACATGTAAGGGTCGGAAGAGGGGATCACCTCATCGCTGTAGTCAGCCTGTACAATACTGTCCCAGCGGGCATCCCACAACTATATATATCGCATATAAAACAGACGCCAGTCACTGCCAGCTCGGCCACGCCTATCAATGACGTGCAACTGCCACTCAGTGTCGAACTGATCCGGCACGGACTGCACCCGACCAAACTGTCGGAGGACACGATGAGGGAGATGCCACTCAACCACGTCAAAACAAATAAGTGGCACTCTCGCCATCTATATCTCCTGACCCAGTCGGCAGTAGTCGGGGAGCGTATCGAGGACCCCAGCGTAAGGCTGCCAGATAAACTACAATGACGACAAATAATTTAAATTTTGCTCGTGAACTCAAAACATATACAATGATGAAGACAACTAAAACGCAATCAAAAAAGTTCATACCTCGCCCTCGATCATCCGGTCCAGCTGGTCTCTATAAACTACCACTACATGGGTCGAGACGACCTCGTGGCCCATGTCAACCCTCCACCGGCTACCTCGCGGTCAGGTGGGCAACTGCATGTCCCCCCTCACCCATAGGAAGCTCACCAGGACCAACCGGTTGCCGCCTAGACGGGGCAATGCGAATCAATCTCTCCCATGCCCAAATCTGCAATAGTTTGAATACAATTACAATACTGATATATGGCTATAAATATGAATTGACATGTAATAAAATTGTTACTAACCTGTAGCAACACAAGTGGTCCTCCAATCTCCCTTGTACCCACCTGAGCTGCTCGACATAGCATGCTATACAACCATGCCAGAGCCGCGCTACCCCAGCTGTACTGCCCAATCTCCTCAATGTCTCTCAGCAATGGCAAGTACATCAGCTTGACCAGGTTCTGTGACTTATCAGGGAGAAGTACCCCCCCAATAAGCCACAGAATATATGCTCGGGTATGCTGCTGTACCAACTCATCTGGAGCATGATCTGGAAGATGAGCAAAGTGCTCGGCCAGCCACCTCACCCTCACTCTACCTGGCTATAAATCTGCTGGTGTAGGTGCTACTCCCAATAGCTCAGCACATAGGGCTATCCACTGCCCCGTCGCGAGAGAAGAGTCAACTCCAGTAATTGCTCGGCCATCAATCCGAAGACCATATAGGACGGATACGTCCTGCAACGTGACGGTGGCCTCCCCGATCGGGAAATAGAATGTATGAGTCTCTGTGCGCCACCTCTCAACGAGAGCAGTGATGAGTGCGTGGTCCAGTCGAATGTGCCTGATACGATACACACCATAGAATCCCGCGCGTAATAGATACTGCAAGACTCTATGGTCCAACGGATGCTCCCACAATCTAGAATCTGCCCGATGGCATGTCAACACGGTGCGTGCCTCATCCTGCACAACAGAATTACCAGTTCAAATAATAACATTATCCCGAAATATACAACAAAATGCAATGTATTTTAATTGTAGCCGTAAAGTGTAACAAACGTTATTGCATACCGGACAGTCCCACATACTATCAGCCCGATGTGCCTGTCTGAACAGTGGAACCTCCTCAGGTACATGTGCCATGAAGCCTGTACAACTGAAATTATTGATCCATATCAAAAGCTCATTTAATCATAACATAATAACAGAGAAAACTGTAATTATTAATTTTGTACTGAACGATGTAAAATACAATGAAGTAAATGTTATGGGTTCGAGAAAAAGACAAATTTATGTGCCACTTACACGGAAGCAATTCGAAATTAATGATTACATTTATGACATATTTGACAAAACTGAAATATTTATTTTTTAATGCTAAAAGTTTGAATAAATTATAAATTTTGCAAAATACATATAAAATTTTGTAATTGTGAACAATGACCGCAGCATTCCAATTTTTAAAATTTTAATTTATAATAGGTTAATTTTTTTAAAATTTGTAAATTTTTTAAATTATAAAATATGAATAATGATTGCAGCATTCAATATTTAATTTATTCAAAAATATGAAATTTTGAAATGGTAGAAGAACTACGTGATTAAGTATAGAATATTGTAATACACATTTTGAATCAAGTACTCCGTGAAAAACTAGTACACATTTTCAATAAATTATAAAAGTTTGAATAAATTGTACACATTTTCAATTTTGCATTACACATTTTTGACTCAAGTACATATTTTGTAATACACACTTCAAATGTACGACTCCGTTTACAAATAAAGAATTTAAAAATACATAATTAAATGATCTATTACAAATGAAGAATTTCAAAATGATATATTACAACATGTAAGTATTACATAGTCTTCATCGACCAAGTCGCGCCGGACATGTTCGCCTGTCATGACCTGTCTGGTGGCACTCACTGCAACGAGCTGTCAAACGCCTGTCTGATATATCCATCTCATTCGGAATACGAGCCATAGATGTATGACCCCGTTTTACTTCTCGCAGACGAAGGTCATTAGGCATTAAGGTCCACTGCGGATCATCCCAATAATCTTCATGCGGTATTGGGTTGAATTTAGTTTCCCAAACCCTCATGTATACAGGAAGCCTGTATACTGGATCAACGTACTGGAATGGATTGTCACCGCATTCAGACATTACAGCGAGCATATGAGAACATGGATAGTGTTTTATCTCATATTTCCCACAACTGCACGTGGGTTGATTCATCCGCACAATCTGTCTATTGCGACCTCGTTCACGGCGAAAAGATGTTTGCACCTCAAATACACGGCGGGGCCTATAAGATAATATTGAAACAAACTAATGAAGTTGATGTTTTTAGATGTAATTAACTTAACAACATAATAATAACAATTTTTTCACATTATAAACTAACCTGTCATACGATATCAACTTGAAAGTATTTCCCCTTGCGATACCCTCCTCCATAGTTCTTTGCATCTCTCTAGGGTATTAAAAGTCATTGTGTACATCCGTTTCAGCTTGGGCTCCCATCTCGTGAAAATATTTGACGAGTCGTCGAAATGTGAATTCAACCATAGCTGAAATAGGTAAGTTCCTTGTACCTTTCAAGACGCTGTTGAAGCACTCTGCATCATTACTGGTCAATACCCCTCAGCGATATCCACCGTCATATGCAAGGGCCCAGTCCTCAGGATTCATCTTGTGGACCCAATCGATGGCTTCTTGGTTAATAGCCTGTATCTGCTCTAAGTAACCATTACACTTTCGTCGTTGATCAGCACTCCCTGCTCTCCACAGAAGTTGTTTGAGCTCCTTATTTATGAAATGTGTGTTAAAGTTACTGTAAACATGTCGAAGGCAGTGCCGATGATATCCAACAAATTGGAGCGAGGGATTCAGCCAATGCCGCCTCACAGCAGCTAAAATACTCTCAGCTCGATCAGATATCAAAGTCACTCCCTGTCGGTCCATGACAATATGTTCCTTGATATTTTGAATGAAGAACGACCAAGACTCCAAACTCTCCCTGTCGACAACAGCGAATGCAAGCGGTAATATTTTTCCATTGGCAGTGACAATCGTTGCTACAAGTAACACACCAGTGTATTTACCGTATAAGAATGTACCATCTATAGTTATAACAGGCCTACAACATCTAAAGCCATCAATGACGGGTTTGAAAGACCAGAAAACAAAGTGGAAGACGGGTATAATGGTTGCATGCCCGGTATATCTATGCTTCCATGTCACGATGGTGCCAGGATTAGATGTCTGTAATGCATGCATGAATTTAGGCAATTGCCTGTATGATTTATCCCAATCACCGAATACCATTTTAATTGCCTTTGCCCTTGCATGCCACGCCTTCTTGTATGATATACTATAGTTCATGGTCTTTTTTATATCTTCGATGACATTCTTAATTGGCATATCAGGTTCATTCTGCATACGACAATCAAATATGAGTTGGATTATCTAGATGTGAACACTATAAACAAACAAATATGTATGTATATGTAAACATTTATTTTTTATACTAACCGCAACTTGTCCCAAAATATAAGAAGCAATGTAACTAGAGCTAATATTAGTGTGGTCCCTATTCATTCGTGGGTATAAACAATGGTGAGGACCCCTGTACTGCTTTATTTCAAAAAGACCATGTTTCCTACTAAGAGATGCACGCAACCACCAACTGCAGTCGTGCTTGCAAGCAGACACCCAAAGGTCTCGGCTTGGAAGTTACGACCTTATACTCTCGATTATTTGTTGCATGGTACAATTTCACAGCATATAGAAGTTGCTTCTTATCAACAAAAACCATTCCTCTGTCCAACTCTGGACTTTCAGCACTCCAGATCCGGTTACGGGGAATGACATCACGGGTACTAATGTCAAAATCACCACCCATGTGAATGTTGTCATAGAAAGGGATTTCAACTCTAGGTGGAATGGGGGCATTTTCAGGTTCAACGGGAGCCTGGGCATCATATTCTTCATCATCATCATCATCTGATCCGCCTAATACATTTTCTTCCTCACATATTTCATTGTCATCATCGTTTAGGGCGACATCAGGACCGTACATGTCACTGTCAGCAAACTGCACCTCGTTCACTGTTTCAGCCATATTACCAGTAACTTCAATCGAAGTGGTATGATGGCTGCATGTCGGCACATCTTGTGTGTTACTGTCAAATTCATAACCATATCCACCACGTGAACTTGATTCTACACCATGGCCCTGAAATGACTGTTGTGTGTAGCCCAATGGATAATATTGATCTGATTCATACATAGGAGACTGAAATGCTGTTGTGTCAATCCAATGCGTCAGCAATGTAGTGAACGGACGAGAATCCATATGTGTCATGTTCGGGATATTGTGTACAATCTCTTTATCAATGTAGACTTCCAAACAATTTGGTGCTTGAAAACTTGCACCGATACTTAATACGGTGTTCAACGCCTCATCGTCATTGAGCGGTAATATCTTGTATTTGTTGTGTGCTTGCCACTGGCGATAAGGATATCTACATTTGAAGGTCAATCGGACACTTTCCCCGTAACTTGCCACCTTTGACGTAAACATCTCCTCCAAATTGCTAAGCGTGGTGCCAATTTGCACCGCATATATCCCTTTCGGCTCAGCATCATATGCTACGCCTTCATCAGGATCCCGAATTATGTTTCCTCCCCAGTAGAAAATAATTGGAACAGTCTCCATATACTTGCTTCAATTAAGACAAAAAACATTAAAATAGCAACAATATACTTATATCTCCTTGTACTTGTAAAAGAATTATATGAAATTATACTCATTCAATTACAATTACTTGTGATGCAAAAATTTTATTTAAGTAATCATCAATTATAATCCAACATTCATTATTGATTTTTTTAATTAAGATATGAGTTAAAATAATGATAATGGTTTAGATAACCCCACATTCATGAACCCTAACCCTAATTTATTCACAAATATAAACCCTAACCCTAACCCCACATTCATGAACCCTAACCCTAATTTATTCACAAATATAAACCCTAACCCTAACCCCACATTCATGAACCCTAACCCTAATTTATTCACAAATATAAACCCTAACCCTAACCCCACATTCATGAACCCTAACCCTAATTTATTCACAAATATAAACCCTAACCCTAACCCCACATTCATGAACCCTAACCCTAATTTATTCACAAATATAAACCCTAACCCTAACCCCACATTCATGAACCCTAACCCTAATTTATTCACAAATATAAACCCTAACCCTAACCCCACATTCATGAACCCTAACCCTAATTTATTCACAAATATAAACCCTAACCCTAACCCCACATTCATGAACCCTAACCCTAATTTATTCACAAATATAAACCCTAACCCTAACCCCACATTCATGAACCCTAACCCTAATTTATTCACAAATATAAACCCTAACCCTAACCCCACATTCATGAACCCTAACCCTAATTTATTCACAAATATAAACCCTAACCCTAACCCCACATTCATGAACCCTAACCCTAATTTATTCACAAATATAAACCCTAACCCTAACCCCACATTCATGAACCCTAACCCTAATTTATTCACAAATATAAACCCTAACCCTAACCCCACATTCATGAACCCTAACCCTAATTTATTCACAAATATAAACCCTAACCCTAACCCCACATTCATGAACCCTAACCCTAATTTATTCACAAATATAAACCCTAACCCTAACCCCACATTCATGAACCCTAACCCTAATTTATTCACAAATATAAACCCTAACCCTAACCCCACATTCATGAACCCTAACCCTAATTTATTCACAAATATAAACCCTAACCCTAACCCCACATTCATGAACCCTAACCCTAATTTATTCACAAATATAAACCCTAACCCTAACCCCACATTCATGAACCCTAACCCTAATTTATTCACAAATATAAACCCTAACCCTAACCCCACATTCATGAACCCTAACCCTAATTTATTCACAAATATAAACCCTAACCCTAACCCCACATTCATGAACCCTAACCCTAATTTATTCACAAATATAAACCCTAACCCTAACCCCACATTCATGAACCCTAACCCTAATTTATTCACAAATATAAACCCTAACCCTAACCCCACATTCATGAACCCTAACCCTAATTTATTCACAAATATAAACCCTAACCCTAACCCCACATTCATGAACCCTAACCCTAATTTATTCACAAATATAAACCCTAACCCTAACCCCACATTCATGAACCCTAACCCTAATTTATTCACAAATATAAACCCTAACCCTAACCCCACATTCATGAACCCTAACCCTAATTTATTCACAAATATAAACCCTAACCCTAACCCCACATTCATGAACCCTAACCCTAATTTATTCACAAATATAAACCCTAACCCTAACCCCACATTCATGAACCCTAACCCTAATTTATTCACAAATATAAACCCTAACCCTAACCCCACATTCATGAACCCTAACCCTAATTTATTCACAAATATAAACCCTAACCCTAACCCCACATTCATGAACCCTAACCCTAATTTATTCACAAATATAAACCCTAACCCTAACCCCACATTCATGAACCCTAACCCTAATTTATTCACAAATATAAACCCTAACCCTAACCCCACATTCATGAACCCTAACCCTAATTTATTCACAAATATAAACCCTAACCCTAACCCCACATTCATGAACCCTAACCCTAATTTATTCACAAATATAAACCCTAACCCTAACCCCACATTCATGAACCCTAACCCTAATTTATTCACAAATATAAACCCTAACCCTAACCCCACATTCATGAACCCTAACCCTAATTTATTCACAAATATAAACCCTAACCCTAACCCCACATTCATGAACCCTAACCCTAATTTATTCACAAATATAAACCCTAACCCTAACCCCACATTCATGAACCCTAACCCTAATTTATTCACAAATATAAACCCTAACCCTAACCCCACATTCATGAACCCTAACCCTAATTTATTCACAAATATAAACCCTAACCCTAACCCCACATTCATGAACCCTAACCCTAATTTATTCACAAATATAAACCCTAACCCTAACCCCACATTCATGAACCCTAACCCTAATTTATTCACAAATATAAACCCTAACCCTAACCCCACATTCATGAACCCTAACCCTAATTTATTCACAAATATAAACCCTAACCCTAACCCCACATTCATGAACCCTAACCCTAATTTATTCACAAATATAAACCCTAACCCTAACCCCACATTCATGAACCCTAACCCTAATTTATTCACAAATATAAACCCTAACCCTAACCCCACATTCATGAACCCTAACCCTAATTTATTCACAAATATAAACCCTAACCCTAACCCCACATTCATGAACCCTAACCCTAATTTATTCACAAATATAAACCCTAACCCTAACCCCACATTCATGAACCCTAACCCTAATTTATTCACAAATATAAACCC